CACCGGTTGGCTGGCACAGAACAGTTGCACACGAACCGCAGACGACAACTGTCTGAGCGTGAGAGAAGACGGTAGTGATGTTAAAGCAGCCGGGGCACTTGACGTCCATGAAGAAGGACCTGGGGGCAGGGACAAGGGTCTAAAAACAATCAGTCGGATGCCTATGCTTTGAGATGGATTTAACGCATACCTTGAGCTTGTGCTTGCGCGCTTCGGCAGCGGGGGAGGGGTTGAGGAGATCTTCAGCGAGAACCTGCAGTATGTCCGTCAGTGTCTGACCACAAGATCTCTATTATCCTCATGGGCGGGTGTGCCAGCTATGAGGATGAGGACGGAAGTCGCTGTCGCGTGCCGTCGCCACTCAACCCCAAGCTGCCTCCACCCACGAAAGCTCCCATCACGACAGTAAGAGCTGCTTACCATTGCGGCGAATTAGCTGAGCTGCGTGGTTTGTATCTTTAGATTGATATTGAGGGTGCTCGTTTGGACGGCGGATTCACGAAATGACAGAAGACGGCGGATTCGGGCGGGTTGAGACGAAGGAGAGGTGTGAAGGTGTTTTGTAGGGTAAGAGCCGCAGAATTACGCCACATCGACTCATCGCGAATCACCCGACGATTGATGCACCGTGCTTACAAACAAACCACTGTAAGTTTTCCACTTGAATGATTCCAGACCCTGCACGAGTATAATGGCGATATTATGTGAAGAATATAAGACGATTGCCACAGATTCAAGCCGAACGACGACCAAAAACCCTACCCTCAGCCCTAAGCCCTTTGACGGGATGGTCAGTGCAGACGGTCTGGGGTAAGCGAGGCCAGCAAGCAGGGCTGGATCGACCATGACGTTTTTGGTCCGCGGGCGCCAGTGTTGCAAGGTTCCCCAGCGTGATGCGGATTGGTGGCGGCACACAACCAACCATCCATGGCGACGGCAGGATGAAGAGGCTTTCTTCCTCGGGAGTGCAACGGTCCGCTCCCACTCAGGTCTGCTGCTGCCGTCCTCCTCCTCCTCCTTCGTTTGGCCGTTTTCCAGGTCTGCTCAGGCTGCCACTGAGTGCTTTCTCCTCCAGTCCGCCTGCCAGTGTTCTTCTCCTCGGACCGTCATAGCAAAGCCTCTGTTCGCTTCTTCCCGTGGCAGCCCCCCCTCGTATGTTGGAGAGAAAGAAAAAAAAAGAGTAGAGTACATGAACTGGCTGGCTGGCTATCCTCCTCCCTACCATCTTCCCCTCCCCTTCCCCGCTCTTGCTCGTCCTCCCTCTCGTTGGCTCTGTCTCTCCCCCTCCGTAACCGCCCCCGCTACATAGTCCAGTCCAGCCCACGCCATGCTGAGCACCCTCGCATCTGCTTTGCCTACTGCCCACCCTTCAGCTCCACTCGGCCCTGACAGCATCGACAGCGCCCAGCCCACGCCGCTGCCCAGTCCTCCCGCACAAGAACCCTCCCAACCACCCACAACCATTCGTAAAGACGCCGACCAAGGGACGCAGACAGATAGAATCGACGAGCGGATACCCAGGTCCGTCACACGCCAATCCCCTATACGGAATGAGGCAGCGCAAACTGTCGCTGAAAGAGCGGACACAATGAGTGCTGGTCGACAGCGCGCATTTTCGGACTCTGACCGTTATTATTCGCATGGTATGGCGACCATAATTGTTCTGCATGGCAATTGGTTGACAGGTATTCTTAGCATCGCAACATATTTTGCATCAAGCCGAACCGTCGAGCCTGCCCTCATACCCTTCCTCTGGTCTTACCCACCCTGAATCCGCTGGAGCAGCTGCGGCCTTGTTTGCTCAAAGATCGACCAGCCCTGTTGATGTGTGGAGGCCCAGTCCAACTTCGACTGCTGGAGCTGCCGCATCAATGGCCCACGCGAAACGGTTCTCCCCTGAACCTATTGTTAGCCGTGATACGACAGGATTGGGTGCAACGGTTTCAAGCATGGACAATGAAGGGTCATATGTTCTGTCAAAGCAAGCAAAGCGGTCGTCCTTGACGGGGGCCCTTGAAGCAATGAGCCAATCCAACAATCGCCGTCGTCGTGACTCCTCGCCGGGGGTGATCGAGGCAAACGAAATTGGTCATATCGTTTCTCGCTCACCGCCAGGGATCCCGGACCGGAAAGCATCTCTCGGAAAAATCTCCTCATTATCCGGGAATGGCACGCTTCAACAGGCCGCAGCTTCCGAAACCGAACGACAAGCCGCCCGAGACGAGAACGCGGGGTTGCGAGCAGCTACAATATCAATGGCACGTTATGGAGAATCGAATGGCGTCCCCTCATCGCGGCCTGTATCGACTGTATCAGATCGCCCCCCACGGTACCCGCACCTCGAAGAAGCAGCTCGTCGGGTGGCTCAACAAAGACTGGCGCGGATGGGCTACGACCCAAACACAATTGGGACCCGAAGCCGGTCACGCACACTGGACAGTTCTATTCCTGAGTTGCATGCCACAGCTGTATCGGCTGAAATGGAGTCGTTGGATGTTGCTGGCAGGAAGAAAAGAGGTGATGATGCGCTGCTCTTGATGACTGTTGCCAAGCGGAATGTTCAACAACGGATGGTCCGGCAAGATCAAGAAATATCAGAGAAGAAGGGCATAATTCATCGGAAAGACTGGGATGATATTGCTAGGAATATTGCCGAGAAGAAGTTGGAGGCTATGATGCAGAGCCCTGAGAGCGACAGCAAGGTGGATATTGGTGGTGGTCGATATGTGTTTCGAGAAGATGTCAATAAAGCCGCCGAGAAGAATGTGCGTCCGGTTCTGGATGAGATCGATAGGGAAGCGACCGAAAAGAGATGGGCCGAGGAAGAGCTAAAAGAAAAACACCTGGCCGAAAAGAAGGATAAGGAGAACCAGAAAAGGGTTGCTGCTCTGCGAAAGGCACAGGAGAAAGAGACCAAGAAAGAACTCAAGAAAACCAAAGGTAAAACTTCCATTCCAGATAGAGATGTTGTTTTTCTTGCTTTTCCTGACAAATGATAGCTCTTGAGAAAAAGCTTCAAAAGGAGGGAAAGCAACCGCAAAAGGCGCCTGGACAGTCTCCTGTACCAGAACCACTTGTTACTCCTGCAGCAACTCCCATTTCAGAAGTTGGCCGAGACCAGGCACGCAAGATTTCGATGAGAGACGAGCTTGCCGCTGGACCCCCTGGCCCTCCAGCTAGACAGCAGACAGAGCCACAGCCCAATCCTGAAAGCACTGTCGCCACTCTATCGCCAGCTCGTCGATTGCTGTCACCTCGCAGGTCTGAGACGATGCCGCTCAAAAATAAACAGGAGCCGGAGTTGCCCCGTACCACCCATGGACGTAGTGCTTCCATTTCATTTGCTGGTCTTCGTGGACATCTTAGACGTGCATCTCGTACCTTCAGTTCCAAGAACCCACCAAAAGATACGGCATCTCTAAAGGGCCCAGAGGTTGAACCAGAGGTTGGCACAGGGCCCATCCGCCGTACCACCATGCCATTGTCGAATGGAGCGCCAACTGGACCGCAATCGAAAACCGAAAAATCAGCTGTCCGCAAGCCATCTCTGTTTAATAAACTTCGTCGGAATTTCGGGGGTTCTGCTCGTGATTATCTACGAGGCGAACGATCTCCCGCGCACTCTCCCGCCCATTCTATCCGCTCCCATCAGCGCCCCCAGTCTCAACCAGCTCCTGTCGTTCTCAATTACCCGAGGCCACCGTCCGGCAACAGAAGTGTTCCAACTCGACCGCAGATTCAAACACCCTCTACTAATCGTCCACCTTCAGAAGCCCTTCCATTGTCGAGTAGCGTGCCGCCAATACAAGAATCATCAAACGTCCCCGCACCTGTTGATGAACCAACTCCAAGTAACGACACGCAAACCAGCAGCTCTGACGCCGACGACATTGCGCACGGACGTAACTCCCTCTTCAACACACTCTCCGCCAATGCTGCTAGCATCCGGCGCTCATTATCCAAACGCTCTCGCCGGAAATCATCTACCCCAGGTGGTCTCGATACACACCCGGAAATTGTGAGCCCCATTACCGACGAGGCGGGGTCAGCGCGGAACTGGGACACTGGCGCAAGTAACGTTTCTGCCATTACCCCATCTACCCATACTCCCAACCACTCTTTTGTCGTCAGCTCGACTTCCCCGTCAACACACTTCACTGCGCCGCAAGCATCCACCGCTTCCGATGTAGCAATGAAACCATCGGATCAAGACGCCGCATCTGAGTTGATGAATCGCGAGAGGAGAAAGAGCTCCGGCGCCGGGAGCGTCACTAAGGGTAAGGCCCCGGTGATACTGAATAGACTTCGTGGTGCGAGTTTCGGGAAGAAGGAGAAAGGGAAGAAAATTGATGGCGAGGTGGACGAAGAACGGGCGAGACGGTTGAGGGTTATAACTGGTACTGGAACAGTCGGGAGGCAGGAAAGTCGCTTTCAGGAGGATTTATAATGAGTGATGCAGCGCAATAGACCTGGATGGGGCCCAGATTGCGAGATATGCTTATGTTGTTCTCGACATCCATGATTTGACGCTTTTGCCGGTGTTTGGGCTGGTGTCCTGATGGTTATTTTTTATTTTTTATTTTTGATCTGGGGGTTCACGAATCACGGTCATGTATGATGTCTTTGGTCATGTTGGTGCTTTGATCTCTTTTTTTTCCTTCTATGTTTTCTTTTTTGGAGGAGTCATGTAGGTGTTGTTGGATCGTTATCATGTTAATTGGATGTGTGTGTATTGTGTATTGGATTAGCATAATGTTTGCCAGTACTATTGTTTGTATCTAGTCAGCCATAATAATCCGTAATCTCGATGCGAATGTTACGACGGGGGATCGTTATAACAGGTTGTACCATAGTTGCGATTTGATCTGACACGGCGACTCAAGCTCCTCATGCGAAGAGTGCAAAAAACATATCATTCTCATTTTGAAACATCATGTTCCCTCTCCGCGTCCCTGCTCACACGCCCACGGAAAACTAAAATATAAAAAATAAATAACGACAGGTCACGCTGGGGATCGAACCCAGAATCTCTTGATGTCGGAAATCCAAGGATGGAATCGTAGTCAAGCGCCTTGCCATTGGGCCACGCGACCAGTTGTTGAAACTGGTGTGAAGTTGCATATTGTAGACCAAAAGAAACGTTGAGAAGGTGAGATGGAGGAAATCCCGGCGTCACCACTTTTCTAACCATGCGGTCGAAACTTTGTTTCTTCACGCTAAAAATGCGGCTAGGGGGTAAGCCAACTGAACAAGGAGGGATTAGCCATGTCATCAGACTGGCCACCCAAATGGCGTCCCTTGCCAGTGCAATGGGACGGCGAGAAGAAGGGTTGAAAGTGGACGAACATTATGTATTGAAGAAAAAGCAATGTACCAGACAATTGGGGAGGGGGAGGGAGGATGATATCAGGGTAGTTGACGCGCCATATCCCAACGGGACGCATGCGCTTAAATGAATTCAATCAATCAATCAATCATGAGATGGAGGAGAGGGTGGATGGGGAAGGGTGGTGTAATGTGATGTGAATATGTGTGAATATGTGCACATATTCCCACATATGCGTTTATGGAAGATGCATAGGCGTAGACTATAAGAGGATGGTAGAATCCAATTAGTAGACTTTGGAGAACAACGCAAGAACGGAGATAGGTGAAGACCCATGAAAATAAGAGGTGACAGCTTGCAACATGATGAAACCCAAGGGGCGAAAGAGGGGAGAAATGGTAAGACGGAGGAGTAGCTGGAGTAAGGAGGGATGGAGTGCAATAGAGTACTGATGCCCTACCTTGACCTTTAGATGTCAACAAACGGAGAAGGCTAGAAAAGCGGCGAATATTCTTAATTGGTAGCTGGTTGAGGGTCTATATGTTGAAACGAAGTACCGATATCTGTAGAACCATGGTTAAAAAAAGAGTTTCCATTTAGAAGTTTGCTCTATGTTCCGGAATAGATGTCAACGGATATTGTTCTGCATGGCGGAAGCATTGACCAACGCACCGCAACCTTGGTGCCGAAATTAAGGCTGGGTAAATGACGTAGTTTTGGTGACAGGCGCGATGTGAGTCTGCGGAGCTTGTGATGGCTTGCTGTGGTGTTGTAGGAGATGGTTGCTAGGTGGAAACGCCACTCCCGACTCAGCACGTTTGGGACATTTCACTGGGGTCAACATCGAGTGGCTGCCCGCATGCACCACCATCACCTCACCAGCGCCGACAGACTTCCGCAGCCCAAACCCTCCTCAACGCGCTCGAGTTTCGTCTGTATCCATCGCAGCTACCAGAAGGCGCACCTTACGCTGGCTGTTCCTCACTAACGACGCCCCGAAGCGAAGCGAACCCGCTCGCCTACTGCGCGTCCACGGCAGAACACCCACCCCACCTGAGCTGCCCTCCGCTCCCCCTCCACCACCCACTCGAGTGTGCTCTGCAACTCCCCCAGGAGTCACATCGTCATTCCTTCAAGATAGCCAGCGGGACTCAGAGGAAAGGATCTCTCCCTTCCTCCTCTCTCCCGCTCCATCATCTAGCACATGTCCGGATACCCGTTCCCGGCTCGTCACCCTTCAACTGCATCCACAGTCTCGCTGGGTAGCACATCAACATATTCTTTTCCGACCTCCTCCTCCTCCTCCTCCCGCTCAGGCACCATCACCCCAATGTCGTCCACCTCTTCCCGCTACAGCAATGCCGTTGTTGACGCTCGTGCCTCCTCCCCCGGCCCAACCCGCAAACCCTCAAAATCCGTCGGCGCATCCTCTCCCTCGGTTCTCGCCCGCTACCAACCGGTCCTTGATGAAGCTAATTCCCGGCCGACGAGTTCACACGGCCCTTCCGCAGTTTCACCACTGTCTATCCGACCAAATCACACTCGGAATCATAGCGTCCCTTATGCCAGCAACAAATCAGCATCCCCAAAGTCTCCAAATGGATCTCCCGCTCGTCCACTACCAACACCGTCCCCGTTTGCGTCTGCCAACCGAAGCTCAGTGATCTCCGGAACAACATCGCTCAAAAAGGAAGACATCGACCACTTGCGTAGCAGCAGTGTGTCGCATTTCCGGACACTATCGAAGCTTACTGGGGAAGGGTCGAAAGAGGAGTTCGGGATTGAGCCAGCAGCGAGTGTGGCCGGGTTGCATGGGAGGAAGAGGTTGCAAAGAACAAAGACAGATAGTATGAGTATGTGGGACAGAATGACGTGGATGGATAAAAGGAGACAGTATATCCAGGCCTATGAGTACTTGTGTCATATTGGTGAAGCGAAGGAGTGAGTTCTCCGATTCTGGAGATAAGGCGAAAGCTGGCGCGATATGCTGACCGGCTGGCGTTAGGTGGATGGAGGATTGTATCGGCGAGCCAATACCGCCAATCGTGGAACTTGAGGAGGCACTGAGAGATGGTGTTGCGCTCGCCAAGTTGACGCGAATTTTTGCGCCAGAGCTGGTACCACGAATATTTGAGCACCCGAAGCTTCAGTATCGACACATGGACAACATAAACCGCTTCTTCGGATTTCTAAAGAAGGTTGAGTTGCCAGAGGTGAGTTCGCCAATGTGTTGAATTGATGCGTCATTATTAATGAATATAGGTTTTCTTCTTCGAAACCACCGACCTGTACAACAAGAAGAACATTCCAAAAGTTATCTATTGCATTCATGCATTATCCTTCCTTTTATTCCGACTCGGCCTCACTAATAACGCGGTTGGAAATCTCGTCGGTAAACTCGAGTTCACAGAAGCAGAGATCCAGAATACTCAGAAAGGGCTCGATGTGGCTGGTGTGGCGATGCCTGCTTTTAGAGGAGTCAACAAGCACTTTGAAGTTGAGGAAGAGCCGGAACCGGTGGAAACAGAAGAGGAACGGATAGTACGAGAACTTCACGAATGCCGAATTGATATCCTGGAGTTTCAAGACCTGTGCCGGGGAGCCTTGGTACGAATGCGGTTAGGGGACATGATGGAAATCCTATGGGACAACGAAGAAGCCATTACTGGACTTCAAGCCCGAATCCGCGGTTACTTCGCGCGTCAGTCTGTGGCTTACCGAGTCGGCATGGCACGATCAGCAATAGCAGTGCAAGCAGTGGCCCGTGGTTACTTGGTGAGGAAACGAGCAACGAAGGATCAGCAGCATCTGGCGAAGAATCAGGTCCTCTTTGCGCGATTTCAGGCGAAGGTCCGTGGCAACAAGGTTAGGAAATCATGTGATGACCAACGGAAGAACCTGGAGCGGAATGGTGCAGGCACTACGAAACTACAGGCCGCAATACGAGGAAACTTGGCCAGGCAACGGTTGGCAGGGAAGATGGAGGAGGTTTTTGACAGTGAGAAACCTACTGTGAAACTGCAGGCGGTTGCGAGAGGTATATTAAAGAGAAGGAAACTGGCGGAGACGGTGGATAAGTTGGTTGAGGAAGAACCATCAATAATGAGACTTCAAGCCAAGATAAGAGGTGGTCTGATACGGAAGAAGGTACATAAGGATGCAGAAGCTTTGGAGACACAACAGGACACGTTCGCAACCTTGGGCGCAGCTGTGCGTGGGATGTTGGTCCGGAAAGAAGTAGAACGGACGAACTCGGCATTGAAGCAACAAGAGAAATCCATCACCGCCCTCCAAGCTCTTGCTCGTGGGAAGCTCTCCAGAGTGGTTGTGGAGAAGGATCAGGAGATGCTTCAGGCCTCCGCTGAGGACGATCATTTCCCACAATTCCAGGCTGCCATAAGAGGATTTTTGCTGAGGAAACGATACAACGCCGACAAGAAAGCCCTTGATTCTTTTACCCCGGCATGGATCAAACTGCAGGCTGCTTGTCGAGGCTCTTTGGTACGATGGGACTTTCGATGGAAAATTGCGAGCTTATATGAAGCGGAGGAAGAGCTTGTTGATCTCCAAGCACAGGCACGGGGTGTATTAACTCGAAATGAGGTTGATAAACTTCTAGACGGTCTTCTTGCTGCGGAGGAGAACACGATTCGGCTTCAATCTCTATGCAGGGGTATTCTGGTCAGATGGGAAACCCAGGATATCCGAGATGATCTTCGGGATGAGGTGGCAGCAATCACAGATCTTCAAGCTCGATTCCGTGGCTTCTTGTCTCGTCTGGAAACAGACCAGTTTCTGGATGACCTGGATCAGGAATCTCATGCCATCTCAGTCATCCAGGCGCATATTCGCGGCGCATTACTACGGCATCATCTAGACCAGATCGTGATGGCGCTTCAGGACGAAGAAGAGGCGGTCGTTGATTTGCAGGCTCTAGCACGCGGTTTTCTGGAAAGAAAGAGATTCAATACTCGTTTGAAATTCTTCCAGGATAACATGCAGAAAGTCATCAAGATCCAAAGCTTTGTCCGTGCTAAACAGCAGGGAGAGGCTTACAAGTCCTTGAGTACGTTCCCCTGTGTGAATGGTGTCATGTTGTCTGGGCTGACGATGCTGCAGTGGGCGGTAAGAATCCACCAGTTGGAACGGTCAAGAACTTTGTGCATCTACTCAATGACAGTGACTTCGACTTCGATGAGGAAATCGAGTTTGAGGCTCTCCGGAAAAAGGTTGTGCAGCATGTTCGGGCCAACGAACTCGCAGAAACGTATGTCGACCAGTTGGATGTGAAGATTGCCCTGTTAGTCAAGAACAAAATCACTCTTGACGAGGTTATAAAACATCAGAAACGCTTCACGGGGCATGTTGGAACGATTCTCAATAATACCGAGTTTGCAAGCGCGGATCCATTTGATTTGAAGGCCCTCAATCAGAATTCAAGAAAGCGGCTTGAGAGGTATCAACAGATGTTTTATGCGCTCCAGACTCAGCCGCAGTATCTTTCAAGGCTGTTCAGGCAGATCCAAGAGAAGAACACCGCCGAGATGGAGATGAAGCGGATTGAAAACCTTGTTATGGGTGTCTTCGGGTATTCACAGAAACGCCGTGAAGAGTTTTATCTTCTTAAGCTATTGGTCCGAAGCATCAGAGAGGAAGTCGACAAGTGTGAACGTCCGGATGACTTTTTGCGTGTCAACTTTTTCTGGGGCAAGTTGATGAGCTCTTACATCCGCTCCCCCCGTGACCGGAAGTTCTTGAGAGATCTGA